CCTCCAAAGCATTTGACGACAGATCGTGGTTCGAATTTTATCAGCAAAATCGTACGAGAATTGAATCGTATTATGCAAGTTCAGCATAGATTTACGACGTCTTATCATCCGCAGTCGAATGTCAAAGTAGAGCGAATGAATCGTTTTATTGCTGAGAAATTAACTGCATACGTAAACAAGATGCAAAATGACTGGACAAATTACATAGATTTTATTACGTATGCGTATAACAGTACAGTACATAGCGTTACTGGATATGCACCATCGTACTTAATGTTTGGTGTGCAGCCGCTCAGTACAGTAGACACGTTATTCAAGGAAATTAAGTCGGAAAATACTGATAACGTAACAGTAAAGCAGTATTTTGACAAAATGTTCAGAGCGTTACAAATTGCGACGGAATTTTCAAAAATATTGACTGACCGTATGCATGAAAAGAATGCGGAGAATTATGATAGAAATCGTGAAGATAGTACGTACAAAGTAGGTGATTACGTATGGGTGAAAGATGAGCAGCGTACAGTTGGCAGTACTGAAAAATTACAGTACTTGTATAAAGGACCGTACAGAATTTTAGAGATTACAGACGTAGTTAACGTCAAATTGAAGTCAATGGATAAATCAAGTCGTAGTCGTCAGATAATTACTGTACATATGGATAAATTAAAATCGTATAAAGAATACGATCCGGATGTATTAGATAGCAAAAATGACTTTATCAGACGTAGAAGTGAGCGTATAGCTACTAAAACAGATAACGCAAATAATAAGCCGACGATAGTTTCGTCCGTCAAGAATACTCGTATAGTGTCTGCGAAACCTTGTCCAGTAATTCATAAGAAAATGAAATGAAATACTCGTAGTAAACTTACTCCAGTACGTATTGTGCATCTGTACAAAGTATGTTTTGTTTCTTAACAGAAATGGAGCGAAATAATGACGACACTGCAGAAGAGCGCCTGCGTCGTATGGAGCAGATGGCACGGGAGCGTAAGGATGCTGATGCTTTGAATCTCCAACGAGAACGTGAACAACGTGAACGTGACCAACAAGAACGTGAGCGGGTGCAACGTGCAGAGCGTGAGCGGGAAAGACAGCAGTGGCGTGCGGAAGACAAGGAGAAGCGCGATAAATGGCGTCGTGAAGTAGAAGAGCGTAGTGAGAAGTTGCGACAAATTAAAGCTTATGGAGATCAGCTTGAAATAGAAATAGCCGAAGAACGTCTCCGTGGTGCGCGTAAGGAAGTAGATCGTCTGACAGAGTCTATTTCGTGGAGTGAAGAGGAGGAAGCTCGGGATCGGGAAAAGTATCGCAGAGAGCTCGAATCCCAGCGTCGACAACAGCGTATGAGTGGTCAGCGTCAGCAGCAGAATAGTATGCCACCAGCGTCGCACGTGGATCGTGGTGATGATGAGGAGCGGGACAATATGCCATTCATCATGATGACGCCGGTGTATCGTAATGAACCTGTGGAGCATAATGAGCCAGAGCAGCGTAGAGCACATCCTCCGATTACTTTCAAGGATGGACGCGAAGCCACGGTTAACTCACGTATGATGCGTTCCGATCCGCGAGAGCAGACACAGCAACGTACCGCAGATCGTAATGTATGTTATTCTGATGAACAGAAGTATGTTGAGTCAGATACTTATTTTAAATCGTATGTGCAGATGGAAAACCGGACAATGGCACAGCGTGTCGCGGAAAGTGGACCAGTGCAGTCAATGCACAATCAGCAGCAGCGTATGACCCAGCAAAATCCACAGCGTATGCTGCAGCCAAATCAGCAGCAAGCGGACATTGCGCGTAGACGCCAGGGAGAAGCTGTCCTGAAGAACGTAAAGTACCGTATCCAACCGGGTGTACCTGGGAATTTGCCGATTCATCCATTCATGAGTATGGAAAAACGTCTCCGTAAAGAGCAGTATGGTGTCGTGATGGCAGATTTGAATCGCATGGCGGATGGACTTAACACACTGGCGCAGAGCGAACAGAATCCAGACAAAGCGGAAACTTGTAGAGCGGAACGATGGCACGTGTTAGAGTTGAAGACATTTTTGGAGTTATTGCGAAGTAATGAAGCGGAAAATAAGAAGCGATTCGTAACGTATCCAGAGCCTATAAAGACGTCACTCAGTCCAAAGTATGTGGAGACTTGGTTCTATGATCGTTTCGCTGCGACTTCGTGGATCACGTATGAATCCCAGAAGGACGGTACGACTCGTTGGGAGAATCGTTATGGACAGGTGTTTAAACTTATTCAGGGACGATTCCGACGTAGTGAAGAGCCGCCTTTGTACTTTAATCCGAACCGATTCTTCCCGGATGACATTGCCTTTTGGTCGGGAGACTGTATGTGGGATGGAACATATGACGAAGTGAGCCGTGAATATGTTTTGCGTATGTATCGTGAGCTGGACCGTATGCGACAACAGTGGTATGCAGATCGCCGCAGACAGTATGCTTCGATTGACATGTGGAGCTGCGGACATCACATTGAAATGGAACGTGACATTCATAAGATTGGAGAACGTATTGTGAAAGAGTTACCAGCGGACGTACAGCGTAGTCAGAGCGAAGAGCGGATTCGTAGTGGTGATCTCGATGAGCTGGCACGATTACGAGCGGAAACAGAGAAGTACCAGCAGGAGATCAAACGTATGCAAGAAAAGCAAAAGCAGGAAGAAGCAGAGAAACGGCAGCTGGAGGATGATCTGAAGGTGATGATGGATCAGCGTAAGAAAGAGAAAGAGGAATGGCGCGAGGAGCGACGTAACGGACAGAATGGCAAGGACGAAGATTCTGAAGCGGACAAGTGAAGTGTCGGACAGGCATGGACGGAATGGAATTCGGTAATTTCCATGGATTTTTACTAATAATTTGCTCATTTCTGTTTGCTGGAATAACAGTATTTGATTTTGTAATCTCTTTTTTGTGTCTTGGTTAATTCACTAATTAACCGCTTACGGCGGGGATATAGCGACTGTGGTTAAATTCAAATAATTAGAACTTTATTTGATTGGTCAGTCTGTGTGGATTGATGAGTCACAGCTGGCTAGTGTGTTAACGGTGTTTAACGGTGTGATGTGAAATGGGAAATTGGACGCTGATCAGTCGGTGATGGAGTAACTTCCTAAATTTGAATAAATTGGTCCATGGACATTCTGTCGTTCGTTCGGTCGAAATAACCTCTCGTTCTTCCACCTAATCACGCAGCATTCTTCCCGGAAAACAGTAAGACCATTTCCTGTTCAAAAAACTTCCTAATTGCGAACAATTAGACCACCAACATCGGTCCTTTTAGCGGCGTGGCGCGGCGTGTAGCCAACCCACAGTAAACGGGAGCACACCGTCAGCCTTCCGTTGTAATATACTCTAAATTGGCAGGGCTGACCTTAGACACGAAGCTATCGGACGGCGACTCTCCTAGGAACGTCTTTACGCTGGTCAAACATGCTCCTCCTGATCGAGCGCTACTCCAGGAATCTATTATGCGCGCTTGTCAAGAGGAATCCTTTGGCTTTCCGAAATCTTTCTGTCCGGTGACAGAAGAATTTATTTTGACCGTTGAGATGACTGGAGCTATGTCTTCACGTTTCGATTTAATTGAAAGAGAAGTTACTATATCGATACAGCAAAAATGTTGGTAAGTAGGGCACTCACGATTGTAACGAAAATGCTGAACGGAAGCTCGGCGTTTGCAACTCCGATATTGTTATTAATACTACCTAGCCGGAAATTTAGTTTGACCTACAGAATTCGGACCGAATCATATCAGCAGTGCAACAGGCTTTTGACGATGCCAATCCCGTTACGATGAATGACATAACACTGACCATCACTTTAAGGGAACGAGATGACGACGTGCACACGGTTGAGGGGTTAGTACAGATCGGAATAATTGTTAGCATTAATTACAATGTGAACCGCAGAATTCGTCAATCACTTTGCAGCCGGCAAAAAATAATGACACGAATTCTAATCCTCCAAATATTCCCCAGAACTTTGGTAGTAAGAACTATATTCCTCGTCAATTAATTACAGAAATGATGCAGCACGGTTTAATTTCTCGATGTCGTACCCGGAAATGCATACCGGCATCTACTGGAAATTATGACGCTATCCAACGCTGGACGGAATCAACGCGTTCCTTTTCCGTGCAGGAGCAAAAATCGCCACCACATGGACATATTTAATGCCTTGGACCGTTGACTATCAACTATAATTTCTCTAAAATAAAAGGCGCCGTCTTGCCACCGATGTCGTCCTTTTGCTGTTATCCGGATTTTCACTCAACAAAGTTAGGCGCCTGATTTCGTCTAAAACAACTTGGATAACACACTTAATTCTTGAAAAGAAATAATATGCGGCTTGTTTTCTTATAAGTAACTTATCGCTCTATCCAACACTTGATGTCATTAACAAGTTTCTTGACCGTGCAGGAGCACGAGTCGCCTCATCATTTTCTCCCCGGATATTTCCCTACTTGCTTTGACAGCTTCACACGCACGTCGAGTAGAAGTACTACCGAAGCTGTGTTGCCACAATATTACTTTAGATGCAGTGTCACAAAATTCTTGGTGCTTAGTAATATGAAACTATGAGTTGAGTGTTTTTCCTTGAATATACCCGTTGAAAACAATAAGAAAAGTTATTGTTCTTCCCTTTGCTTATACCGGTTTTGTAATATGAGAGCATCTTTGAATGAAAATTGTCTCTGACAAAAATCATAAGCCGTGAAAAAAAGTTACGGATAAAGCCTTTCAGTTAATTGTAAACTACAACCGTCTCCGCGCGCACAATCTAACAAACTATCGTCGTTTAAAAAGCGGCATGGGATTCGATCTTGAAAAAAGAGAACATAGCTACCAGCTACGTAAAAAATAATGTAATTGAGTTACTTGCACCAACAGTGCTATCTCCGGAGCAGTACAGGAATTTTCAACCTGCCGGTTGGAAAGTTGGAGATTTTCATACATACTATTTACTTACAACCGGGAATTACGTTATACACTATATGCTCCCCGACGTACATTACTGATGTTTCAAGTGCCGTATGGAGCGATACAAAGAGTGTTGTACGATTAGCCTTAACGATAAGCCATACGCCATGGAACCGACGATTGGCACAGCCACGTGCAGAAATAAGAACAACGGTTACTGATGCAGATAATCAGACAGACGGTTACTGATAATCAGTGTTACGATACGGTTACTGATGCGGTTACTGATAATCAGTGTTACGATAATGACGATAAAATGAAATAGATATTAAAGTAAAAAGTGAAAAGACAGCTTATTACACAGCAAGGGTTTCTTTGGCATCTTGCAGAAGACATAAAACCTCAAGTGCCGAACTCCGAGCTGCAGGTAATGGATTCAAACATCGACAAACAATTTCCATCAGATCCAACGGAGCTAACTCAGAAACACACGGAAGAAATCCATCGCCCAGTGCAATAACGTAAGGCCGTTCGCCAATTTTATCCCCAGCCTCCATTTTTTCCTCTTCTCGCTGAAGCCATCTCTCTTCATTACCAATAACGCGATCCAGTAAATCATGTATGACACATCCCAAACTCCATATGTCAGTCTTGCGTCCGGGTTCAGGCGCCCTTTCGGGACGCAACATATACTTCTGAAGCATTTCCGGTGACATGTAGCGCAGTGTGCCGCAGATGTTAAGAAGGTTGCTGAGGTCGAATGAAGTTGTAATGCTTGTATGGAGTTTCACAAGATCATCCAAATCACCAATAACCAGACTTTCCAGACCGTTATTGGCTTGTTTAAATAAAATATTTGCTGGTTTTAAATCTCCATGAATAATATGACAGTGGTGCAGGAAACTTATCCCTTTGGTGATTTCCTCGGCGTAGCGAAGTGCAATCGGTTTCTCGAGCAAAATTTTGTTTTCCTTCAGATTGCTCAGTTTTGTCCCCAAATCGCCACCTACGGACAACGACCGTTAATTAAGCGCGAGTAGCTGTACTGTGCATCGCCATCAGTGTACTGTACAATGTACATCTCGTAGTACGTAATTTGATGATTTCCAATGTGCTGCCCTTACAAGCTCATGCATACCGTTCTAACTTACCGGTATAGTAATCCATGACCAGCTCGATCGACGTTTTTCCTTGTATGGTCTTTATGATAATTTTATGGTAAACAGCCAGGTTTTCATGTTTAAGACGAACCAACGTTTGAAATCTCTGGCGCATTTCGACCGATACTTCATCTTTGTCCCCGCAATCGACAATTTTGACTGCCACATTATCTCCTTGCCCTCCATAATCATTGCGTACCGTGATTTCTCCCTTGTAGACCATACCAAAAGTTCCGCTTCCAATGAAATCACCTACTGTGAACTCGCATTCACCACCAAAAACTTCGCTTTTAGTTTCTTGGTTAGCATCTACTTCCATAATTTTGCACGCAGTAAGGGTACGCAGTTAATAAGGAAAACGCTTTTTCAAGGACGGAATACGTAAAACTTGAAACTTCATAAAATTAATGCATATTTATGGTCTGTGCGGCGTATACGCTACACCGTGGAGGCCCTACGGATACCGCTTACATCTCCGGTAAGTTATCTGATAAAGCGATGATGGCAGAAGGACGGTATCAGTAGCGAAGTCGTTATACAGACCATATTTCGATAACGTTAATTCTATTTCCAGTGATGGCTTCTGTTGGTTATCTTATGCAGACGATTGGCAATCGTTTAGTGTGCCTCCATGCGTAAGACCTATGAGCTCTTTTCACTATACGTAGAAGTATGTCAAACAAGACCTTAGTCGGATATTACGGGTGTTTATTGAACGAACACCCGCACGTCTAGAGTAGAACTGAAAGTCACGCTACTGAAAATTGTCATCTGCTGGATGCCTATGCAAGCGCAAGTTGCAGTCTTCACACGAAAGTTTCCCAGTTCACGACAAATTACTGCTCCGAAAGATCGGGAGAAAACAGAGTAGGAGAAAACGCAAACACCAAGAAAACGTCACCGCTTTTATGCAAACTTAAAGAAAAACCGTGGTATATGAGTAAATTAAACGCGCAAAATCGTCACTGCTGCTTTTTAGAAACATTTTCAGGTCAGTGTTAATCAGAATATTAACGTCCAGTAAGTCAGGCATGGGCCGTTCAGTTCCGGTTCCAGACTGATCTAAGACTGCGTTTGGCTCTTATTTTCCGCCTGAATGAGTTTCACCTGGTAGAAAATATAAAAGTAGAAGTTTAAGGTGTTAATTTGCCGAATAAAGGGAAAGTCACTATTTAAACAAAAAGAGTACAAGAAAAACCCAATACATCACAAAATTTCAATTCCAAAAAACTAAGAAATAATAGGAGTGTTAACGCCTAAAACGGAGACTAATTGGCATGTACCATTACAGCATATTGAGCCGAATGCCGACTGCCGTTGAATGTTGATCAATTTTGCTTACCTCCTCGATGTATTCCTCTTCCAGAATTACCATGTCCAATCCACAGCGCAGCAGGCCCTCTTCCATGACTCTGGCGCGGTCTATGTATCATACAAGAACAATCGTAAAAAAATATTATCACATCTAGGAAACCCAGCCGTCCGGAGCCAACTGGTTTTGTTATATGCATGATTTACTGTATAAATGCTACCGTTAGTATTTACCTGCACATGCCACGAAGTCCTGGTACATTTCCAGCATATCGATGCGCATCTCTTCAGCCTCCGGGATCTGTAAAGCACTGAGCGAAACAGCGGCACCGATGGCGCCGTGAAGCGCAGCTGTCGCCGTGCTCATCCACAAGGAGCGCTGAGTTGCCGCGCGATCAAACTCTACGACCGAAAATTTATTATGATTCAATATAAAATTATGCAAGCGACAGGGCCCAAACCAACTAGGCATGAGCAGAGTATCCGCGGTATAGGCACCTGTTGCGCGCTGTGGTGAACGAAAATGATATAAAATTCTAAAACCACCATCTCAGATCTACTATCTAGGGAACCAGGTCTCCCTGGTTTCCCTCGGTTACACAGGGCGCAAGAATACATCAGTAGACCAACCTTCCTGAACTCGCTGGCGCATCTTAGCAAAGTGGCGCTCTTGGTCGGCTGGAGACTGTTTAATGAGTTCTTCAACATCGGAACGAAATCGCCTGTGTGGCAGTGGTGCCAGGCTTTACGGCAGCTCGAGTCTCATTATGACGTGCCTTTACATCTGACAGGGAAGATTGTTCCGTAGCGAGTCTGGCACCGGCATTGTCCACGTACCCTATGGCAGAAGTCAGAATCAACAAGCAATGAACAACTGCGGACAGAAAAAATAAGAAACTCAGAGGTATGACATTTGGCTATGTCGCAGAAAAGTGATTTCGCGTGCCTGACTTGGCCCGCAGAAATTGTCAGCCAACTTACGGGAACCTGATGTAGCGCAGTCACGCAGAACAACAGCATGGGTTTTGACTTCGAGCATGAGACCGAACGCGCCACAGGGCTGGGAAAGGCTGCATGATGATGCCATGTTTGTGCTGGGTTTTCGCACCACACTAGATCGTACCGAAGATGATATAATCGCTGGTTGCAAAGTCTGGCCAAAGTCACAACAGCCTTCAAGAAAATCAGAGAAAAATTACTACTTAGTCTTAAACCGTAAAAACAGACTACGTTTTTTAACTGTTTTTAGGATTCAGGGAAACTTAAAATCGTTGCAAGTGCAGTAGTAGAAGCAACCATCGAAGACTAGAACCGCGGCCCAGGGGGCCGTGGCTCCCAGCAAAAAGAATAGTACGAAGCATAGTAATTAGTGTGCACATATGTACAGACGCCCCCCGCAAACCTGGCGGCGTCTCCTTTTTTTTCGAGGATGTTTGCAGAACCCATCAGTTCCCAGCTGAATGTGACATTAAGCGGCCACAGAAGCAATCCGGCGCAAACGCTGTTGCCAAGTCCTATCAGTAAGGGTTTGAATCCCATAACCCAAGAGGAGGTCATACTGCCCACCCGCTCCGTCACCTTTAATCGGCAGAGTCGAAAGCGTAGTTCCAGTGCGACTGCCGCTGGCTCGAGTCTGACTGGAAAGGAATCGGCTAAACGCTTGCGTACGCAGAAGACTATGGGTGATGCGGATTCAGCGCTAGTTTCCCTCAATGTCCAAAGTATCGGTAGCCGTTTACTATGTATGTACGTACCTGAAGGATCTTATGTTGTGAATCGCGCAACTGTAGCTCCGGTATAAGTGTTTGGCCGGGAAAAGCGGTGAACACGACATCGCAGTTTATTTCAGTTTTATTTATATTTTCCCACTTTTCTTTTATTAGGTCTGACTGGGAATATCGTGCCTAATGTGATGGTGCGATTGGAGAAAAGCATCAGTCCAAAGCGGCAAACTGCTGTGTTGTCAGCCCAAAAGATTCCAACGGATGGCATTCGCGTCTCCGAATTCATCCACACAATCCGCTCTTATTTCTAAGCTGGGAGAAGGAAACGGAAAGTTACGATTACTTTCGAGGGGTCTGACGGCTCCGCTCAAATTGTTTCCGTAGAAAATCGTCGGTGATCAATATTTTGTTGTTGCTATCGTACATATATGGAACGTTTCGTACCAAAGAAAAAAGTGGAGCGTTTTTTCCCTTCTTGCAGTCACTGTAGTCATCTGTAGACTACCTGTAGACACCCTGTAGACAATCTGTAGACAACCTGTATCCATCCTAAGAAACCAGATGTCTACAGTATGTCTACAGTGGTGTCTACGGGCTGTCTACAGTGCGTCTTCAGATGTATACAGCAGACCATCCTGCTGAACCTAAGAAGGCCTGCCTGTATACACCGGTAGACATCTGTAGACAACTTGTAGACACCCTGTAAACATCCAAAAAGCCTAAGAAAACGGTGACTAGAGATGTCTACAGACTACAGTGGTGTCTACGGGCTGTCTACAGATGACTACCGGTGTATACGGGCACAGTATCGAGATGAACCTGAGAAGGCCTGCCTGTATACAGCGGTAGACATCGGTAGACAACCTGTAGACACCGTTGAAGACACGCTGTATATATCCTAAGAAACCAGGAGACAACTGATAGGTCTACAGGGTGTCTACAGCATGTATACAGATGTCTACTGTGACTACAAGGAGCGAAAAAACGGTTCATTTTTTTTCTTTGGTACTAAACGTGCCACAGGTGCATATAAACCCGACACGTGAAGTACTGCGAGATGAACGGTAGAATTTAATAAAATATTCCGAGTGATACTACACTACCTACATTAGGTTCATTTATTGTGTATTAGAATAAAATTCGAATGTAAAAAAGATGTAAACGTACCGGGACCTTCCGTATATTTAGAATAACGATTTTTCTGTCGCATTTATTTTTTCTCGGTTGTTCTGTGTTCTCTCTGCACTTGAGTATTGTTCTTGCTGATTGCACTATCAAGTATTATCGTATTTACACGCACTAAATTGGAAATTTCCTTACATTTAATAAACCCGAATGTGAGAATTACATTCCAGAATTCACTCTCACCTCGTTAAGTTTTCGTTATTCGTTATGCAAAAACTGGTATCTGACTTAGACTAATTCTAGCAAACTGCTGGAAAACATTTCGGAGTTTATGACACATTACGAACGGGCAACGCGTAGGGATCAGGTGTAATAAAGTAGAAGAAAACAAACATCCGAGTGCAATCGCTTTTATGGAAACGTAAGAAAACCGCGGTACAATGTAATTAAAAATATGCAAAGGTCATCAGACTCGACACTGCTAGTTTTAAGAAACATTTTCAGGCCAGTGTCAATCGCAACGTAGAAACGTCCCGCAAGTCAGGCGTGGGCAGTTCAGTTCCGGTTCCAGACAGATCTAAGGCGGAGTTCGACTCGCATTTTCCGCCTGAATTAGCTTCACCTAGAAAGAAAAAAGTACAATAAACAAAGTGATTATTTGCCAACAAATAGGAAAGCTATTACATCTTTATAAAGAGAACGAGAAAAACCAATAAACGAAGAAAATCTTAACGATACACTGGACCAAGGCACGCTGCATTATCCACTGTGTAAGCCCAGAAATCAGTTTCTCTTTCACTTACCACCTCGACGTAATCCTGTTCCAGAAATACTTTGTCCAATCCACAGCGCAGCAGGTCCTCTTCCAGGAGTTTGGCGTCGTCTGTGTATTACACCAGAGTAATCGTAAAAGAAAGCAATATCCCGTGTTCACGCCTAACTTAACTTTCAAGGCTCAACAGATTCTGATATCGCTCATTATACGTTCTCGGCCGCTGTCAAGTCCTCTGCGACATGAAACGAAAATGTACAGTAACTCCTATTTAAATTTTCACCTGCACATGCCACGAAGTCCTGGTAGATCGCCAGCATATCGGCGCGGAGCTCTTCGGCCTGTAGGATCTGTAGAGCAGTGAGCGAAACGGCGGCACCGATTGCGCCGTGAAGCGCAGCTGTCGCCGTGCTCATCCACATGGAGCGCTGAGTTGCCGCGCTATTAAACTCTACGAAGGAAAAATTATATCAAAAATAACTATTTAACAATAGTGCAGTGGCTGCTCGCCGTAGTTGCGCCGTGCGCGTAGCAACATAGGACTGGCAATCTCGAAAAGACGGGGATTTTCAGACAGTTACACTTCGTTATATTTTAGTAAACATTTTCAGCTATCTGCTTATATACTATCACGTTGTGACGTTAGCATCACGATGTGACAAACAGATTCAACAAAACAAAAACCGATGAACCGTACTATGTGCTGAAGTGATGTAATGTACAAAAACTATACAACAAAAACCGATGAACCGTACTATGTGCTGAAGTGATGTAATGTAACGCGTGATTTTTAAGGTATTCTTCGATCTTACTATGTAAGAAAATGCAAGAAGTTTTCGTCATTCGCGCACAAAAATCTACATATAGAATATGAGGTGAAACTGCAAAATTACCGAGCGGATAGATGAAACCTAGCTGATAGATTACAATGCCCTAAACAGACTACCCCGCAAATGCTTCACCTGTTGCGCTGGTTCCCGGCTAACAAAAACTGGATCGAAAATTGTCAAAAATACCAGCACACGATCTACCATCCCGGGAACCAGGAGACTGGTTACCCTCGCCTCTGCAGACCACTGTACACCTCACGGCACCTACCATCCTGAACTCGCTGGCGCATATCATTGAAGTGGCGGTCTTGGTCGGCTGCGGACTGCTTGACGAGCTCCTGCACATCGGGACGAAATCGCAGCGTAGCTAGGGTGCCAGCCCGTACGGCAGTTCGAGTTTCGTTACAGTATGCCTTCATCTCTGCCAGGTAGGACTGTTCCGTTGTCAGTTTGGCGCGGGTGTTGCGTACGTACTCTGCAGAAAAATCACCAGCAAACCATACATGAATGAGAACAGACAAATGTATGTAGAACGCTTGCCATGTCACGAAATAATGATTAGGTTATCCTGCAGATATTGTCAGCCAACTTACGGGCACCTGACTTTACGCAGTCGCGCAAAACAGCAGCGTGGGTTTTGACTTCGACCAGGAGACCGATCGCGCCTTTGCCTTGGGAGACGCTGCATGATGATGCCATGTTTTCTGCTTGTTTTCCGCACCACACCAGATCGTCCAAGACTAAGATATTCGTCGGTCGCAAAGTCTAGCCAAATTCACAAAACGCCTTTGGAAAATCTAAGAAAAACTTTAAACCACGAACTTGGCACGAAGTACTGCTAATCAGGCATCCGCAATTTCGCAAATCTGTATGGCGTATTAAACATCAGAAAGTGCAGGCTGCGTTCTTTGTACGGATTACTGGTTTAGCCAAACTCTAAAAGTCAAAACGCTGCAAGTAACAGAAGCAATCATACTTTGTAGAAGACTTTTCCCCCTGGCCAACGGTTTAGTGCCCCTGCAGCCCAGTACTTTTGACTCTCGCCACCGCCCGCGTCGCAAAGCTGTAGCCGCCCGTGAATGTGCGGTCGGGATTTGTGCAACAGGTTTGAGTTCCGAACTTCCGATGACAGCGGAAAATTCTTCGCTGGAGAAACAACTGCACAATACAGAGTTTTTAAGCACGTAGTCGGTAGTGACACAGCCCATTTGATTGTCCTTTTAATTTTATTGCCCGGCAAAATTAATACATAGCTGTTATACAAGAAACGACCGTAACAATTTTGAAACGAATCCACTAAAGCTCTCCTTTCGCGCATTATGGTACGAGTACATCTTCTTGTATGTATTACAACCAAATGGTTTGTATACACCCGCTTTAAAGTTTGTGCGGCCCGCTGACATGAGTATAGAATTAAAGAAAACAAAGTGATTAATTACTAATTATTATTGTACAGCGGACGATTCACCATCGTTGTGGATTGGTTCTGGCAGAAGCAGGTTAAAGTTGAAGTTGAACTGCGTCTGCGTTTAATCGGGCAAAGCCGATTTAAAGCAAGTACATATAATGGGGCGCGAGATAATTAATTGTTTCCTGGTATGGTGCGTAGCATTCATTTGATGTTGTTAATAGAAGCTACCGCTGATAGATTTACCTAGATCGTACATAGTACCACATACTGTACTTGTGCAACCATAACGATTTTTGTTTGCGCAAGATTGATGCCTATCAATTTTCCTTTTTTTTATCCATGAACAAGTACAGTACTTTTAAGTACAAAAATTGTGGCGCTAAGTCGCTAAACAGCAAAAGAAGAAGTAGTCTACATAGTTCTGAATGATGCCAACTGCCTAGGCACGCATGGCTGCAAGTTCACTACTGCAATTAAAGGTACCGTTTTACAGCACAAAGTGATGGAAAACGGTTCAGTACCAACGTTTTACGTATTTACGTTGTGTGGTGCCGTCGCCAGTCAACCAAGCAGTCAATCAGTTCGTTAAATGCAATTTTTTTGATAGTTGTTAAAATTGGAACCACTGTTTAAAATACACTTATTGATTGTGTGAATCATTCAGAAAAAAGAAATATGGGAGATTCTTCCGTTGGAAATCATTATTATTGCGCACAGTTGTTTGCACTGGGAACTGACTGAGAAAGAGCGCGAAACTTTTAGTTTCGCCCTGGTTTTCAATTTTTTTTATCAATCGTTTTGAATCACCAAGTTTCATATCTGGGTATGGAAACAGTACACACACAGAGCCAAAAGGTATAAAGTATCAAATTAAATTTTGGGTGGAGTTCACAGTTATTGTATGGTTTATCGCTTCTGGCTGTGGGATTTGCGGCGAAGGTACCGGGTTGTAGTTTTCCGAGCGCTCAATAACAAAGCAGACAAATCCTAGGAAGACTGTCACCAGCTGCAATGAAAAGTCAACGGTTGATGACGGTGTACTGTATACGCAGAACAACTATTCCAAATCCAATCAATGCAATAGTAAGTATCTCATAATTATTTACCGTATTGCCGAATCGTCGGTTAAAATCAGCTGTCTGGAAAAGTACGAGGGCATGGGATCGGAATTGAGCAAGCTTGAGCCGCACCAGCAAGCAGGCGTCTTCTTCCCACCAACTCCACGTTTCCTTCTACAGGTACGTTAAGGACATGCTCAAATTTATTCGAAATTTGCTAATTTGAAAGAAAAGCATTCTGGCCTTGTTAAAGGCTAAAAAGAGTTTTCGCTCGCATAAAAGAAACATGGAAGATATCGCATATTATTTAAATCATTAATGAGAAGAAATTTTTTTATGAATTAAAATTTTTTAAAGAACATCTGGTAATAACGTAAAAGATACTTGTAATAATAGGATTCAATACTGGTTTGGTTCAGTTCAGTTTCTTGCTTCGCAAATCTGTGAATGGTTTCTCTGTTTTATGTATTTTAAGTTAATGTTTTTATGTACACAATTACGTTGTGATACAATTTTCAAATAATGGCGTCGTACAATAATCTGGTTATATGTAATAGAATGCGTACCACATCGCCATCGGTTCTGCTCAGTTGTCGTGTTTTTATTAACCGCCTCCACAAATCGATTGAGTCAGAACTCTGCCAAAACACAAACATTTTAATCTCGGCAATTGATCATCTGCAACTCTTCACTCACTTACCGTTTCATGCAGCTTGCCGGCAAAATACAATAAAAAACCGAGATGCAGTGGCGGAAAAGATAGCGCCGTCACCACATCCATAATCTTGGTGATTCCCACGGCCGCGCCCTCAATGAAACACAACGAAGTCCGCGCGGCGAGATACGCTGAATTCCCGATGATCAGTGCAATAATAATCGGTGACAGTGCGCTACCCAAACATTCCAGTACACGCGTCAATTCATCATCCAGCACGCTTAATTCGGTAACCGTATCTTTGAAGGAAAACCTTTTTGTCACGGCAACATGATTCAGACACCCGGCTTCGGAATGTCGGCCGATAAAGAGAAGTGGTGCGATCAGTTCGTTGGCATCGACGTTGTCCGTCAACATTCTCCTCGCAGCGTGCAGCTTTTCATTGAACAGCTGCGTACATTGTGTGTAATTTGTAAGAAGATCCATGTAGAGAAAATAAATGCTCAGTAACATAAACTGTGCAGCGTAAAACGTCTGGAACACGATTAAAAACAAGAGACTCCGCGGAAGGTAAAACAAAAAATATGGCACCTTTTTCCAGCTAAACGATCGAATATACACTGCAGAAGCGAAGGTAAATTTACCGATAATACATAGGGCAATATATAGCAGAACTATCCGCGCGACGATGACACGTCGACGGAACCTGGCATCGGTGTTTACCGGAATGAGTGTCATCGATCCATCATTGTTTGAGTAGCGCATCCTTCTCTGCAGGCAATGAAGTTGCTGGATAGCGTCTATTATATCCGGGGACTGCCAAATTATCACCCATAGTGTTGCCGCTATTGAAGCGAAAATAATTTGCGTTGTTAAATACGCCAGTGTCGTAATGATGGGACTCTGGCGACCGTGAATACCCAGAGTTTCTTGACCGAGTTTTTCGGCTAATTCATCGTTGTGCATTAAAAATTCGCCAAAGTCAGAAATAAAAATTACAGTGAGAAAAGACGGTATAACGAACCGTATAACGTTATGCACAAGATTTTGAACACGATGGGAAAGAATCCTGATTTTGGAAAAGCATGTCGCGAAACCGCTCTCCGGCTTGCTGTATATGGGTGTCCCTAATAAAATTGCGACATAGTGACGACGAAAAATTGGAGCTTTTTCTACATGGATAGCCATGGTTAAATAATCAATCAGTCAGCTGTGCTACGGTTAATTACTAACAGGGATATCACAAGGAAAACATCACAGCTACAATGTATTGAGATAATAATACGGTGGATGAAAAAAGACTGGCAAAGTAAAGTTTGTCGGCTTTTTCACTGCATGGGTTAAAAAGGGGTACATACCGCGATCTCAGTGTCTCGATTACGGTTTTTCATATGAAGAGAAAAAATCGATTTTCAAAAGTATTTGATCCCGGTTTGTACGTGAACGTTTGGAAGGTGTGAATGCGTAGCTTATTGACATGTCTGTTTGTCAGCAGGTAATGCAATCTGTTGGTATTTGCTTATATTTACTTAAGGGACGACAGCAGCAGTATTCGATTGGATTATCGGGAATATTACACTTTAATAGGCACCAGCCTATGGCGCCGCTATGAATCAGTAACAAACTAGCCTCCGGTCCGTCGATCGCTCCATCAGCCTGATAAAAATGTAGAAATATAAACAACAATTACTTATAAACAACTACATATAAACAATTGTCTGATTAATGCAACAGGATTAACGCCGCAGTGCCTGGAACCATAGCTAAATCTTTGCACTATCACATAAGACTGCCAACTTAATATACGGTACAGTACACTGATCTGTCTGCTGAAGAATGTGCTGATCTTAGCAAACAAACAGCATCTTATGTGCCGGTTTTTGGTGAACGCGGTATTCGCAGAAGCGTTTTCCCGAAATTCGATTAGTGTTATCTTTTCAAGGTAGCCAACGCTTGAAAAATCCAACAGGTTTCCAGAAAATTTTTGTTAAATATTCCTCATTCTCAACAGCAGGAGTAAGTATTAGCTATCATTTCAGGACAACTGCGCTTATGTTTTAGCACCATTGCAGTTTTCCAGCCGCCCACATAAGTGATTTCACAGAACAGCAGGATAAAAAATGCTTTCTGTTGCTACTTTTAAGTGCCTCAACGGCTTGACTTTGTTGACAAATGCTTTAGTCAAATGTATATAAGCAAAGCACAAAAACGTTGAATACATATTTTCCATTCTCGACATTTTCCAAATCTCCGAATCCGAAACCTGTTAACATCCCAGTGTCACTGCATCGTCCAAGACCAGCCGCGCTTACTACTACTACTACTACAATGCATTCTTTCCGCTTGTTGATCGTTTACGCGGTGAGTCCAGTTTTTCTGTTGCTCTTTAACGTTCGACTACGACCTTTCTTTTGTGTTTAACAGTGCGTTGTGGGGATCCTTGCTGACAGCGACAGCATCACACATAAGCCCCTTAATCTCGCTTTTTTCACTATGAAACCGCACAAGCAGTGGCCCCCTTGAGAGTGCGACGACGCGGACCTTCATCCGGAATTGCTCAGCATGGATCGCACCCCGTGACCACTCCACCGCCACCCAAAGGCTGCGATATTGACCCGTATCAAGGAAACTGCTACTGGCAAGGCAGTTATTATGTCAACAAAAATACTAAAAGACAATTGTAAGCCCTGTCCAAGTTCACAAGGCAGAACAACTTAATTTCGATTGTTACCTAAGTATAGTGCTTTATATTAATTTTATAAACGCTTCTTATAAAAATTTGGCAGTGGTTTCAATACTGGAAAACGCGTCTTGGGATGTTTCCTGTTTTTCGGCGTTATTTGCAGATGCTTTCGGCGCTTAATTTTTCTAACGAGCATTCGCGAAATCTTATTACGAGTAGTGTGAAACGTTAATCATGTTTAAAACACAAACAGACCTAATAATCTTTCCGCGTACAGATATTAATTTGCAGTCATATTAATAACAGTCTGCGTCAACGTTAGAATATATTCTTATGCGTTGTAATTTGTGTAAACTTCTAAGGCGACCTCTTCATTTTCACGAATGGAAAACAGCAACCGCAATTTATTAATTTCTTCAAACCTTAGTTAACAATACACATTCAAATGGAAGCAAATACAGTATGCAGCAGCAACAGAGTCGCTTGCCAATTGGATTCATAACAAGAGAAACAAGCAGTGCCGTTCAAAACGCCTGACCAGATGGAAATTGTTTTCAGTAATCGCTTTCTGTAGAAAAAATTTCCGGCGCATCCAAATGAAATAACAAGTACCCTGTGTTAGGAGCGTGGCTCTTGTCGCTAGGTTGCCGGCTGTAAGTTGAGCTGATGGCTGTAAGTTTGTAACTAAGAATATCTTACGATATTCTGCAGTTATGCCGATAGCCTACCTAGTGGTGCCTCTCTCGGCCAGGTTAGAGTATAGAGGCTGCGGGTTCGATTCCCGCAGTCGGCAGATTTTTAGCGAGTGTGTAGTCAGCAGCGGCCAGCCTAGCACCTGGTGAAACTGGAAACAGGAAATATTTCTGCGAAGATTAAAGTAAAATGTTGAGCAATGTTGCGCTATCCGTACTCATAAAACCCTATAAATTGTAATCGGTTATCCGAAATTATACTAACATTTTACAGCGCTTTGTGGGCATAATAGGCTTTAAGGAACAACAGTACTAGTGTCTGCTTACGGATCCTACTTTAGAACTAATATTGTGATGCATTAGGCCAACAGAAACGGCTTTCGCAGTTCATTCTGCGCAGGGAGTTGCTGTTGTTGCACTGGTTCACCCATCAGAGTTGCTTTTAGTAAGCAGTTTGTCTTTCTAGTTAGAGTATTTATTTCAGTTCCAACTGGAGACTAATACTGCTGTTGCTGCTCCTAAACAACATCTGCTCAATGCTGCTAAGTTTTGTATAGAAGTACCTTTATTTATGAGAATGTCGATGCAAATACTCTTGTTGTTACTTCTGCCAACGGTTACCATCGGTGCAGGTATGGTTTTTATTCGGCAATTTAATACCCGGCTTGTGCTGTTGCGTTTTAATGCATGATATCATAACCGATTTAGGGGTTACATTTTCGCCGAATTTGTTGACCTTTCAGGGTTTAATTGCATGTTGGTATCTGTTGCACACCGCAGAGAAAAATGTTTCTATGGGTTATATTTTCGCGTTAGCTTTCGGAGTTGGTTTAAGATCGTTTTGCATCTCAGTTTTCCAATATAATTTTAGTAAAGTAAGAATTTGATTATTTGCAGAAACCTGGGACATTTCAAGTCCGGCAATTGTGGTTCCATACCGCGGACATCTGACCAGAATCTTCCAAGCAGTGTCGCAACCAGATTCCCGGTACCAGAATAGCCTTTTTGGCTCGTTGGCTGCCCCCGCCCCCACGATACCACAATCGCTTCCCTGGTACTACTATCCACCTATGGTCACTCTTCTTACCAACACCGCCGAATTATTACAAAGTCCCACGAGTGGCCTGTACTCTGTCCGCGTCCAGTTACGACTGCGAGAGAGTGGCTATCACCAGCAAATCACCAGTCTTGTCCACAGTATAACAGAGGACCCCCAGAGCCACGTTCTGCCGATTCCATTCGCATGGATGCACATCAAATACTCAACCGGCGACGGACGTTATGAGATGCGGACAAAATGGCAGTCTTGTCAAGACGATCCTCAAGTTTTTTCGCTCAACATCCACTGCATCCGATATGACCTGTGCGAGAACATCCGGAAGACAATTCGCCATGAAATGCCCAGTACTCTTTTCAATGTCCAGTTGAATTTCCGTCTAGCTGCACAGCGTTATCCGCGCAAAGCGGAAGTCAGCGTCAACAGCATTCACCTAGCCGATTCCCCGATGTTTGCATCCATCAATGACCAGTTCAACGCCAGCAGATTTGTCTTTGTGGAGAACCAGTTCTATCACAAGCTCCTGCAACAGATGCTGACAAGTAGCCTCAATCCGGTCCTGGAAACGGATGAGTATGTCGATGACGAGCAGATGGTTGACCAGATGATAAAGCTGACCCCTGTATTCCGCCACAATGTGACCTTTTCCGGTGACTTATCCGATGCAATGTGGCAGGTAATTTTATCTTTCCCATAATTTTTAAATCTCGAAATTGATATAAAGTTTAGATAAATATAGTAAGCATATTTTTATTATTATTCGAAATGATTGTTATTGCACCATAGTTTTTGCACGCAGACACACTTTATATTATTTTATTTGTTTTGCTCAATGTGAAGAATGACTTTGACATGCGAATAAATACAGAAATTAGATTAATTTAAAGATAGAAAATAGCGCTAGTGTTCATTGTAAAAGTTCTATTCGATCGCATTGTTAAATTAGTGCTCTGCTTTACAGGCGACGTTCTGGCCTTCAAGCACA